TAAATAAATAATAGAAGGAGGCGAACCAATGCTTAGCACACTGCTTTTTATGGCAGTCTCAAGGAGCAGAATAACTATTATATAACTGCTGTAATGGTTTTCAAAGCCAGAAACAAAATGTATCTTGGATGGGATTGCTCCAGTCCAGCTTTCTGCCAAGGCGAAAATGGAGCCTTGTCTGTTTTAAAAAGCCCCCTCGGCTTCTGGCCTTCCAGAGAGGGGTGGGGAGAGAGGCAAGTATGTGTAACAGAATGTGTAACAATGGCATCAGAATTATTCGGCACACTATCAGCCATCTCCACCTTTCTAGCATGGTTGGATGTGTAATAGCTTATAATCCGTATAAGAATCAATTAATAACGGGAGTGAAGGCATACCTCTCTGTTCCAGAGACAGGCTTTTGGAATAGGAGGCTTTGAGAAAATGGAATATATAAGCCAAGTTATAAAACTGTTCCACAATCTCATGATGAAATACATTTGACATGCTTTATTTCCATTAAACTGCTTTGTGTACACAAGCATCTGCCACATCTTGCTTTTAGCCATTTGCTAGGAATTCTTCAACACAATCATGAATTTGCCTTACCAACAGGCTAGTCTTCTCTACAGATGGCACAGCAAGCATAGCCTTTGCAGCCTCAGAAACTACAGTGGTGGTGGTTTAATTCCAAGCAATACTGTACTTGAATTTAAGGTTAAGCACACATTCAGGCTTTCCTGATGCTGACATTTTTAATAGGACATTATTTTTCCTAGCTTTTCCACTAGTGTAATTATTTAAAATTTGAACATGGAAGTCTGAGTATCTGTTTGAGGGAGGTACCAATGTCACAGGCATTAGAACTATGCCATAGTATCAGGGCTTAAAACTTTAATAATGTGTCATTAGTTTCTCCTCTTACTGTTAATTTTACATGCCATCAGATGTAATAAAAAACTGAGGACCAGAGAAGCTAGAGAATGATATGAGATCCTCAGCAGGAGATTATTTTAATAAGGAGCTTGAGCCACACCTTGCATCTCATCTCTTTCTCTCCTGCCAGTTGCAGTTTCAAGAAGTTTCATTTAAAGTGTTTCAGTGCTTTTTTGGTGATTTTTTAAAAAAGCATCCTTCATTGACTCTGTATGAAAATTGCAGCATTTTCAGATGGGAATGAATTAATATCTCATTAAATCTGAAGAAACAGAATAGTACAAAAGATAAAGATGCTGTGCTCTCAGAAAAAAAGGAATTAATTTGTAAATATATCTGTGATGCCCATTATTTTTGTGTCCCATACTAGATTATCTCAATATAAAAAGTGGCATCAGTGTTTAAAAATGAACTTACCCATTTTCTTAAAATGGCACAGAACCTGATCCATTTCAAGGAAAATGTTCCTTCCTTCCTTCAAGACTACAGCCTCTGGCAATGGTGGCTGCAGGACTGTGAAAATTTTAGTGCAAAAAAGTAACATTTCCAAACTCTGTTTGCTACAGAGCATTGGGTGCTTTAAGGGTAATCTTATTTGTTACATGTGAGAGTCATTTGATATTCACACAGAAGTAACTTGAAGGGGATCCAGCACATAACCATTCTGAGAAATATATTGTTATTCCTGGACCAGAAAGGGAGGTAATGGTCAATATCATAAATCCTAACACAGGCATTTCTGCCTGCCCCCCTGCTATCCTTTCTTTCAGAAGAAATTAGAGATGCTAAAGTGCAGTGGTTTTTGACAACTACATGTACGTACTATTCTTTTATGCTGAATGACATTTTAGAGCCCTGTCCTGGTAGATCGTATGTGATCATAAGTTCAAGCAAAGTTACAGGACTTCTGATATGAAATGCTGAATCTCAGTTAGAAACAGGGAGAAATAGTTAAATTCTTGATATAGATCTGAGTGACCATTTCATGGACTTTTCTGTATGACCTAAGTTGTCTGAATTTTCAGTATTACAAGAGTAAGGTGATAACTTTAATGAACCACTAAAATAAATCACACAAATTGCAAGCTTTTGTGGGTAAAATCCCACTTCCTTCAGCTTTGCACCACCTCTTCATGTAGAGTGGGGAAAATTTGTAGGTCTGAATCATGGCAGATTTCTGTGTTGAGTCTGTTTGTACAGTATGAGGTGAATTCAGACGAGGTTATAAAGTCAGCTGAGAGGTGTGGTTTCAAGCATCCTCCCTTGTAACATGATTGGAATTTTCCATCCAAAACTCCAAACAAAGGATTTCCTAATTACTCTGTGACTGTTTTCACCCCCACGTCATCCCATTGTTTTTCAGTGATTGATTGAGGAAACAAGCCATGATGTAGGTATACTACCATAACTGGAGGTGTTGATAGGAAACTTATTCCATCTGATTATTAAAGCAGCAGCATAGACTACTGGGCAAATATGAATTTGAATTGATCTGAAGCAGGTGGGTATCCCAGCTACAGATCATCCACCAATTCGAGTGTTTTGACATGAAAATGAAATTGTGTTTTATGCAGTTTTGGTCATAGGCCAGAAATCCTAGCTATCATATTGATTGTATGATGCCAGTGTTGACTTTGTGACTTGTGAAAGATACCAATATTTTTCCATGCAAACCCCTCTTCTATGATCCAACGTCAAACAAAGACAGACAAACCAAGCTATTGTTGCTGGCTTATTTTGACTCTAGGGCATATTTAATTTTATTGTGAATATAAACCATGCTTTTCTATTTTAATTTGCTGTTCTGTTTCCATGGCAATTATGCCAAGAAATGAAGGGCAAACGGATATCTTTGAGATAGTAAAAATAGAAAACATGTGGTTGGCTTGGGGGGGGGTCATAATTGCCAATTTCCAGATGCCATGCTAATGTACTTGTACTATTTATGTTCATGCTTCTTGGCAATGTTTGCCTGATGGAAAACAGAAGACCCAAATGAATGCAAGGAACTTTACCTGTGTTTGTTCCAGATTGTGCCTGTTTAGAATTTAAAGTATATATCTACCAAGAAAAAAAATCAACTCACTATGAGCCTTTGCTGCATCTGTTTCTTAACCAATAAAATTGATTGGCAGAAGTTTTCAGGATAGTTGAGAGAAAAGAATTTTTCACACAGTAGTATTTCTTTTGATGAACCTTGATGCAAAGAATGAGAAAAGGTGCTTCAGTTGTCCACCAGGTTGGCCATTTGAATGAACACTGAAACTGGAGGAGTCATGAAATATAAGATGAACCCTTTCCTCACCCTAACACAAACCACATTGCTAACCCTCAGTACACTGAAATTGTCACTGGGGTAAACAAACACCCTACAATTTACATACTGCAATTTTTTAAAAAAACCCTAGTGTATGAAGGTACATAAAATGTGTGAAGTTCCCTTTTCCTCTACCATACTGTGCTAGAGAGAAAAGAGAGAGCTGTTATTCCCAGTTGATGAATTTACCTCTAGCTGGCCAACAGTGAAGTAAGAATGTTCATCATTTGGTCCTACCCGGTTAATCTCTTCTTATCTTGTTACTTTAGATCCCGACGATAGATCTTCCCTGTGACAAACTCGATCCACATATAAAGAATTTGTGTCTATCTAGTGTAAAAATGACAGTATAAGCAACCAGCACTGACAAGAACCTTGGGTATATTTTGGTTAATGTGAAAGAAAAAAATCATTAGAATCTTAGAACTGCAGAGGTGGAAGGGAAAAATATGCCTTGAATATGAAGGACCTAAAAAAGAAACCTACCATGGATGAGAACTGAACTATTGAGCAGCAGCATAAAAACCAGTTTATACTGCCAACACAAAAAAAGTTTCGCTCTCCAGTTGCTTAACTACCATTTCCTATTTTTCCCACTTTATCAGCTAAAACTGCCACTCATTGTTTGCTAGATCAACAACTTTCCTTTGCTAGATCAATAACTTAGGGCCAATTAATATTAGATTAATAAACAAAGATGGAATGGCTACCTGTCAGGGATGGCTTTAGCTGTGGATTCTTGCACTGGCAAAGGATTGGACTTTGTGACCCTTGGAGTCCATTCCAACTCTACAGTTCTATCATTTTGTGAAAACTGCATATAAAGCAGTTTACAACTGACAAAATGGTATAAGATCCATCCAGGCAACCAACCAGTCACCTTTAAAAAGTATGAAATAGTTGAACAGCCTACATTATATTATCACACTGCTCTGGTGATGCAACTCACCAAGCTGAAGGAAGCTCAGATACAATGCATAGTAGCCCAACAGTTTTTCATAATACAGATGTTGTTGTGTACCACACTGGTTCTTAACCTTGGGTTACTCAGGAGTTTTGGACTGCAACTCCCAGAAGCCTTCACCACCAACTGTGCTGGCTGGGGTTTCTGGGAGTTGCAGTTCAAAAACATCCGAGTAACAAAGGTTAAGAACCACTGGTGTACCATATGATAAGCTGCAAAAATGTATATCTGTTGAACCTACCATTCTGTTATACATGGCTGCTTTTTTCGTGGCAGGTCACCATTTAATAGGGGCAAGTAAAAATGACTGACATTTTACTAAAAGCAGGAGGAGGCATTGAGAGGTCTTGCTGGATTATACTGTATACTTCCTTATTTCACAAATGCTTCCAGGAAAACACCATTCATCTGCCAATGTATTGTTCTAACTCACCTTCTACATGGAAGTGACCATGAATAATCATAGGATTGCAGAATCATGGAATTGAAATCATTATTAAAGTAGCTGTGGTCATCCAACCTCCACTTGGAAACCTCCAGAGGAGAGTTCACTTCTTCCAAGATAGTCTGTTCCACTGTCGAAATGTTCTTTGTTGTAGTAGAATCAATTGGGTTGTGTCCTCCCCTTTCTGCAGCAGCCCTTCAGATATTTGAAAATAGCAATCATGTCTCCTCTGAATCTTCTCTTTGCCCTTCTATCAAATGTACCATACTCCATCAGCCAATCCTCATAGGGTCTGGTTTCCAGATCTGTTAATATATTGGTTGCTCTCTTTTGAGTCTATTTTCTTCTTAAACCATGGTGCTCCTAGCTGAATAAATTACTCCAGGCCTGATCAAAGTAAAACAGAGTGATACTGTTGCATCCTTTGATCTGAGTACTGTCCTTTGTTGATGGAACTTAAGCTAGAGTGGGAAAAAATGCTGCTGCTTCACAGTATTGTCTCATGCTTAGCTTGTACTCTACTAAAATCTCTAGATCTTTTTCATACATGCTATTGCTAAGTCAGATGTCACACATCTTATATGTGTGAATCTTATTTTTCCTGTCCAAATATAGAAATTTATATTCATGTCAGTTGAAAGTCCTTTTGTTTGTGTGGGCCAGCTCTCCAATCTGTTCAGGTCATCTTGAATTCAGATTTTGTATGACTTGATTCTCCCCACTTGGTGTCATCTGCAAATCTGCTGGGCATTCCCTCCTTCCTCTTAGTCATTCGTAAAGATACGGAACAGTGGTGGGCCCACAACAAAACCATGTGACACCACACTTGTCACCTCTCCACAGAATGACAGCAAACTGGGTACATCAGCTTTTGGTACAATCCATCCAATAGGTCATGCCCAGGTATTTCCAATGGAAAGGATGTCACATATACATTTAACTAATCAATTTCGCATTGGTCCTTCAGAAATCAATCAAGATGTTTTATTTAGGTTATCTTCAATATTGATGTGATTTAAATGATATGTGACATGCCATTTTTTTCCATGTGGCGTCAAGACAGCTGAAGAACCCAGAATTTGCAATCTTATTGCAATCGTATTTTTCAAAAGGAACTTATTGAATCATTCATTGTGATGTGACTGTCATATTATTGTTATGTTAAAGTAATTCATTCTGTTGTATGTTATTAACACTTTGTGTTGGCATTGCCACTTCAGCATGCTCCAAAAATACAAGGAAACACTCAAGTTCCCTGTAGTGGCCACCTCTGATATTGCACCTTGAGAAGGCTTATAAAAATAGAAAACAATCTATTGTTTTCTTTCCACTTAAGACTAGTAAGAGATTATCATAAAATTTGAAGAATTTGCTGTCAAAATGCATTGAAAAATGCCTGTAAATGCCCATAAAAAATAAAATTTGAAAGTAACCAGAATCCTAATTTGGGAGTGGAGCCTGTTTTTTAGGAAGAAGATCTCAGGCCCAGTTCCCACCTGAAGACTGGATGGAGATGCCTTCATATAACTGTCAAGAATTGTAGAAATTACAAGGCTTTGTCAGCCAATCGCTAGACAACATAATTTCATAAAATTTTTAAATGACTATGTTCCACTTTCCGGGCAACATACTTTTCAAATATATGCTTGCTTTCTTGTGCATGAAAATGGAACAGATTTTGAGCATGAACTGAACATGTAAACTTAGTCCAAACTTGTTTTATAATTGAACTTCCTTTGCCACAGCCCCAAATGAGGTGCCACATTCAGTTATGTTAAACAAAAGTTGCATAGACTTCTTGGAACACAATGTTTCACTTCTTACAGCATTACTGGCATTAATGGCAGCTGTATACTTCTAAATCTTTTAGACTTTTGGAGAATGAAAGTGAACAGGCACTGCAGTCTGTTGCTTATGAAAACTTTGAATGCTACAGAACACACCTTCCTGTCTGGCATGGCCAAGGAGATATTGAGAACAGCTGCCCATTGCCTCCTCAAAGACCAAGCAGAGATCGTGAACCCGTAGCAGACGGTAGATCTCCATCACCTCCAGAAGCAGTTTCAATCCATTACAGCACCTGCTTTCCTGAAAGGACTAAGTCTGATATGTTACTGAACCATATTTATGTTATGGAAGAAAGTCAGGTGGTAAGTATTCTGTTGGTTTGTTTTGTAAGAGTACTCTAAACTCAATTTTGTAGCTATATGCTATAGTCACTTAGAGATGGGATATTTGTATTTGTTTCCTAAGTGAGGTGAATATCGCCACCATAGGTGGCTGGGCCCTTGGGACCCTACCCCTCCGAAATGGCCAGTCCACTTACCCTTGCGGTGCATGTAGCCATAGTTTTTAGCGCTGCACCAATCGCAGAAGTAACCCATCTCCTTGCACTGCTGACCAACCTGACGAGGTGGGATGACAAGTCTCTCCTCTCGGCTGCTGAGTGGTCAGCAGCACAGGGAGGCAGGGAAGCACCAGCTGATCTACTTCCACAATTAGCTCACTGCGAATGATGACGGCCACACGCACCACACCGTGAGCACTAAGCAAATAGAAACATCAAAAACAAGCTGGGGGTTTGGATGCAGAAAAAGGTTTTGATAGGATAGAATGGGATTTCTTGAGGGCAACTTTGCAGAAAATCAATTTCAGAGGACGATTCACAACGTAGTTCAATATTTTATGTCAGAAGCAGACATTAAGCATATATTTAAATAACCATTTGTCAACACCAAGTAATATTTGGAAGACTCAACAGGGATGGCTGTTGTCTCCTTTTATTTGCAATTTTTCTAGAATCCTTGGCAATAATGATTCAAAATAATATGTAAATTTCAGGTACAAAATATGGAAATATAGATTTAGGATCTGCCTATAAAAAGTTTGTGTATTACTTAAGTCCATCACTTCCTTTGCAAGTGAGCTTGGTATTGAAATATTTGTTGTTTTGTCTGTGAATCCTTTAAAACGTGACCTCGATTTTAACCTTTCCTCCATTGTGTTCAATGAAATAATCTTAACTAGTTGTTCTTCAAGTTTCTTATCTCTCTGTTGATAAGAATCTTTGAATTCTTGATCCCTTTTATGTACACTTCTGAACAGTTGTTTCCTTGTTCTAATATATGTGCTCTTGCATCAAATCTTCTTTGTTCATCCTCCAACATTTGCTTTACAGAAGCCAGTAAATTAAAAATGTCAATTTCCCTTTCTTGTATCCTCTTCTTCAGCTGCATTGGAACTATCTTATTATTTCTTCAGCTAAACTTTCTCTATAACAACCTTGAATATTTTATCCTGTATAGCTATCTAAATCCAATTTTAACTGAGCTGTTAATTTTAACTTAGAGCTGTTTTACTTGCCAATTTTAACTTAGAGCTGTTTTACTTGCCACCTCTAAGATGTCTTCTCCCTTACCTTATGTTCTAAAGAGTTCTTAAGTAACTTACCTATCTTTGGTAATATGAGTTTTAAATCTTCAAGATTTTCTGTTTTCTAGTTATTGCCATTATTGTTTTTTAAATCTGCTTATTTTAAAGAAAAATTTATTGTAGTTGGCAATTTAATAAAAAATATGGAATCGAATAGTAGCAAAACAGCAAAAAGAACACACCTTATCACAACCATTCCTTTGAAAATATTACTGAGCTAAACAATGTCATATTAATAGATAGATAGATAGATAGATAGATAGATAGATAGATAGATAGATAGATAGATAGATAGATAGATAGATAGATAGATAGATAGATAGATA